AGGGATGCTCTGAGTGCTTTTGTGACCCTGGATAAGGCCTCCTCTGGGCCTGTCACTTTCCGCCTGGTACTGCGGCTATCTTTGTAGTTGAGTTATCTCCGACACCAGGGTGGGAGCTCCTCGGGGGAGGATCCCACAGCACACAGTTCCTCTTTGTATCCCCCCAGCACGGGCCAACGTGGGCACCCACCGGCAGTCAGCTCTCCAACAGGTTCAAGCAAGCTCAAGAGCACTCCGGCCTCACCTCTCCCAACCAGAAATCAGTTTGGGGTTCTTCCAAACTGATGGCCACAGAGATGGTATCTGCCTCCTGGGGCCGAAGCCCAGGGTGTGGTGGAGTGACAATCTGGGCGGGCTCCTCCTCCCTGCCCTCCCGACGCTGGCCGGGGGCTCCCCCCACCACCAGCCCTGCCAGAGATCCGCCGGGGGAGTGGGATTTTATGCCGGTCCGCAGGCCCTGGGGGGCCCCACACCGAGGCACGCAAGTGGCACGGCTCAGTGAGGAGCCGCGCCAAGCAAAGAGGGCAGTCCTGGTCGATCCAAGCTGGCTGGCCCCGCCCCCACCCAAGAAAATGGAGGCAGCACTAGTGCCGGTGCCTAGCCTGGTGTGGTAGGTGGGAGCCAGGCGGGCGTCTGCCCCGCAAGCGGGGCTGGGCTGAGGGTCACTCACTGATCTCACAGAGCTGGGCCAGTCCAGTGCCTTACTCTCCATTTCTGCGTCTTTCTTGGCCTTTGTTGCCTTGGGCTGCTCACTCGGTCCCACAGCGCGGCTTGGGTGCTCTCAGGAATCTTCTTTTGTGTTGGCCCTAAAACCTTGAATCTGTAGTTGCTTTTTTGTCATTGTAGATTAGTTGATCAATGTTAGTTGCTTTTTTGTCATTGTAGATTAGTTGATCAATGTTTTATTCATTTTTTGTTGCTCTTGGAAATGCAAATAGTACTCTGGCAGCACAGTGCACACTTCTCAGGCTCGTGCTGTCTTCTGGCACGCCTGCTCCAGACCCGTTGCCATCTTAAACTCTGGGCAAAGACTTTATGAACACGACTCCAAAAGTACAAGCAACAAAAGGAAAAATAAACAAATGGGATTATATCACACTAAAAAGCTTCTGTACAGCAAAAGAAACAATTAATAGCAAAAAGAAAATCTATAGAGTGGAAGAAAATATTTTCAGACTATGCATCCAACAAGAAATTAATATCCAGAATACAAGAAACTCAAACAACTTAACAGTAAAAAAAAAAAAAAGTAACCTGATTTAAAAATGGGCAAAGGAGCTAAATAGGCATTTTTCAAAGGAACATATACAAATTGCCAGCACACACATGAAAAAATGCTCAGCATTACTCAGCATCAGGGAAATGCAAACCAAAACCACATTGAGATATCTCACCCCACTTAGACTGGCTAGTATTGAAGAGAGAGAACAAAAAATTCTGGTGAGGATGCAGAGGAAGGGGAACCCTCCTAACTGTTCATGGGATTGTAAATTGGTGCAGCTGTTATAGAAAATGGTATGGTGGTTCATCAAACAACTACAGATAGAACTGCCATACTATTCAGCAGTTCCGCTGCTGGGTTTATACCCAAAGGAATGGAAATCATCACATCAAAGGGATACCTGCACTCCCATGTTTATTGCAGCTCTATTTAACAATAGCCAATCAACCTAAATGTCCATCATCAGATGACTGGATAAGGAAAATGTGGAATGTTTACACAATGTGAGACTACTTAGCCATAAAAAAAGAATGAAATCCTACCATTCACAGCACATGGATGAGAGAAAATTATGTTAAGTAAAATATGCCAGGCACAGAAAGAGAAATACCAAATGTCCTCACTGGTAAGTGGGAGTTAAAAAATAAACAAGTAAATTTTTTTAAAAAGAGAAAGAAAGATACATCAATTGCAATAATACATTGAACTTTCAAAAGGAGAGAACAGAACTGAAGTTACCAGAGGTGAGAAAGGGGGAAGGGAGGAAGAGTGAGGGAGGAGTTGGTAAGGGGCCCCAAAAACCAATTACATTGTATAATGTTGAGAATAATAATTATCCTGATTTGAGCATCACATATTTCACACAGGTATTGATATTCAACTCTGTACCCCACAGATATGTACAATCGACTATGTTTCAATTAAAAAAAAATTCCAAAAGATGTCTCAATAAGGTAAGATTTTTTAAGCCCCAGTGATACAATCCAATCTCTACCATTAAAAAATAGAAACCTGAGTAGTTCTGGAGTAAAAATACAAAGCCTTTCTCAATCCTCTTAACTTTAGTTAAGTTGCCTAACCTATCTGAGTTTTATTTTCCATATCTGTAAAATGAGGAGGATTACAACTATCTTACAGAGGTATTTTGAATATTAGAGATAATGTATGTAAAAGTAATAATGTAAACTTTAATACACGTGGCCCTGGGATAAAAGGAAGAATTGGAAGTGTGATGGTGAGATGAAATGAAAAGATAAATGGTGGCTCATCGAGAGATTAGATGTGGAGGAGTGATTAAAAATTAGTAAATAACGTTCTCTTCTTTCTGAAATTTTATCTGCGCACCCAGCTGGACACAGCATTTCCCAGCCTCCTTTCCAAGTCTGTGTGTCTGTGTAACTAGGTTCTGGCCCATGGGATGTTATCAGGAGTGAAGTCTACAACTTCCAGGTCACATCTTAAAAGCATGTTGCTTGCCTTCCATTTCCTCCATTTCCCTTCCTGTAGTGGGATTGCAAATGAGGCGCTAGTGATCTAACCCCTTGTACGTGGATAAAGAAAACTTAGGGGATGGTAGAGCAATGAGATAGAAGGAACCTAGTCTCAGGATTACTTTGTGGCATAGAAACACCCAGGATCACTTCAAATGCATATTTACATGAAAGAGAAACAAACCTTCTGTATTCTTTAACTCACTGTTATTTGGTTTCTGTTAAAGCAACTAAACCCCAAACCCAACGAATATAGCGTTTGCTACCAGAGAAACATTGCAGAAAGACAAGAGTGCCCTTGACATTGCCTTAGGAGGCAGCTACATGAAGACTACAAACCATTTCTCTGTAAGTCTAATATGGCCCACTTTTCTTCTGGAATAGATGCTCCTTCTTATAAAGTCTTTGGCTTGCATTTAGAACATATCATATTAGGTAAAAAAATGTTTACTACTAAAACATTAGAATCACATCGAGGTGGGTAAGGCATGCCTGCTTGTGGGAGGCCCGTGGAAATGAGACTAGTTGAGAGGAGAGTCTCCTATTGACCTCACAGTCCGGGGCATAGGGTTATTGAGTTGGCTCTTGGATGGAATGACCCACACTACTTAAATCATTTCACTCCCTCTGTTTCTATCTTCCCCTGCGTACATATAGTACTATTTACCTAAATTAAATGCACATTGGATGTGTCACTGTTTCATCCAGACATTTATTGGGTGTCTCCTTCACAACTCTTCGTCATTCAACTTTGTTGCCCATACAGGCATGTTCCTGGTGGTCCCTGCAGGTATTAACACTTCCACCATGACCACGAGCAAAATCCTCTAAAGATAAATTTTCATGTGCCTCCCACATCCAGATGCCAGATCCTAAGATGACACCTGAAGATAGAGCTTCTGCAGAGCTCCCATCATGTCCTTGTTCCTTAGGCTGTAGATAAGCGGATTCAGTGTGGGTGTGAGGATGGAATAGAAGACAGCAGCCATGCGCCCTTGCAGTGGGGAGTAGTGGGCAGTGGGTTGCATGTAGGCAGAGCTTCCAGTGCCATAAAACAGCAGCACCGTGGCCAGGTGGGAAGAACAAGTGGAGAAAGCCTTCCGGCGGCCAGCTGTTGAACGGATCTGAATCACCGTGGCCAAGATGCGGACATATGAGAGGACGGTGACGGCAAAGCAGCTTATGATGATACAGCCACTGACGGCAAATCCGGCAGCCTCATGGGCTTCTGCATTGGCACAGGCTAGGCGCATGATTGGGGGGATGTCACAAAAGAAGTGGTCAATCACATTGGGACCACAGAAGGGCAGGGAAAAGGTGTTGGCTGTGTGGAAGGTGGAGTAGAGGAGCCCGCTGCCCCAGGCCACCACCACCAGGGACACACAGGTCTGGGGACTCATGGCTGCCCTGTACACAAGGGGTTTGTAGATGGCCATACAGCGATCAAAAGCCATGGAGGTGATAAGAAAACACTCCGTGGACCCAAAGCAGATAAAGGCAAAGAGTTGGGATGCACATGCAGGGAGAGAAATCTCTCCGGAGCCCACCATGGTGGCCACCAGGGCCCGGGGCAGGGTAGTGGACATGGAACAGATATCCACCAGGGAGAGATGTTTGAGGAAGAAGTACATGGGCATGTGCAGGCGGGCGTCAAGTGTCACAGCAGCCATAATGGAGATGTTCCCCAGAACTGCAGCCAGGTAAATAAGGAGGAAGGTGGCCGCGCTGAGCAGCTGTAACTCAGGGACAGCTGAGAAGCCTCGGAGGACAAATACAGATACTGCTGTGAGATTGGTCATGTTCTGTATTTGGGAAATCTCTTGAACTGCAAAGGACACTCAAGGAGTGGTGCATGAGAAGAATAATGTGGCAATAACAAGGACCTACGAGGAAAAGATTAAAAAAGAAAAATGTGTGAGCTGAGTCTGGAAAGGATGCTCAAATATTTCTTCATTAAACACACATGAATTATTTGTCTTCCATAGGGATCCCAAATTCAAATACCTACAGAGGCCCTTCAGATACATACATTAGTGAATCTGGCTAAGAGTAATGCAATAGGGAATGGTGGGGACTGTGGAGAAATGAACATTTTGTCCAAATGAGGCAAATGCTCTAGGCTTTTGCCAACTGTTGTTGGTAGACCAAGCATTGCCAGATTCTCTGAAATTTTTTAAAAGAATCCAGAATTCCAGATTTTTTAAAATGTGAAACATCCTGACATATGTATTGGCAGTTAATTCAAATTTAAAACATTGTGTTTATCAAAAGGGCCATCAGTTTAACGCTTTTGATCTTACCATGCATATTGCCACATAACTCCACAGCATCTTCAATAGAGAATGCAACTCAAGATTTTCTAATGATCTATTATCCCCACTAGATTGTGAACCTCCCCGAGTACAGGGACGATTTCTTACTCATCTCTTTATTTCCCAGCATCTAGCAAAGGAGGTGGTACACAGCAGGGAAGAGGTACTTAAGAATATTTTTGCAATCAAATGGCCTGGATTTGGATTCTGTGTGACCTCAGACAAATACCTTATCTTCCTGAGTCTCAGTTTCCTCCTCTAGAAAATGGTCATGTGAGGTAACAAAGGGAACATTCTTAAAAGACAATTACTATTACTATTACTGTTATAGACAATTACTATTATTAGCCTCTCTGTAAATGTGTCTTCCATTTCTCTCTTTCCATTATTGTCCCTGGATGGTTGGGATTATGTAACAAAATACACATTAAAATATTTTTAAATTTCTTAATGGAACATACTACTACCCTTTTCTTTTCTCACATTCCACCAGCCCCATGCTGTTTTCATGTCCATTGCTATTCTCTGAGAAATAGAGGCGTGCTGGCCTGGCACTCACAGCTGAGTCTTGCTGCTCTCCAGTGGAACATTAAGAATCTAACTCTGGTAGGCAGAATAATGACCCCTACCCCCCAAAAGATGTTCACATCCTAATCCCTGAAACCTGTAAATCTGTCACCTTACACGTCAAATGTGATTAAGTTAAGGATCTTAAAATAGGGAATTTTACTGGATTATCCAGGTTGTATGGGTTGAATTGTATCCCCCCCAAAAGATATGTTAAAGTCCTAACATCTAGTACTTCAGAATATGACCTTATTTGGAAATAGAGTTATTGCAGATGTAATTACTTAATGAGGTCATACTGGAGTAGGATGGGCTCCTAAGGTTATTGGCCCTGTCTTCAAATATAGTCACATTGTTAGGGCTTCAACATACACATTTTGGGAGGACACAATTCAGTTTGTAACAGGCACTAACACCTCCATGTTCCCATGGTCATCAGTTTAGCTGTCCATCTTCAGAACCATCTCATCCACGGTCTTCCTGCCAGAATGCAGGGGTCATAGGCTGTTTGTTTGTGCCCAGCATCTGCTTCAATATTTTTTGTGTTAACATCACCCTGATATTCCTATAGAGACCCTCATTTTCTGTTCCTGTGGAGACGCTCATTTCCTGCACTCTCAGTCATGTGGTTGGGGTGAGACTGTTACCCTCAGCACCAGGAGGGAGGTCGGATGACATAGGCTTGACTATTTAGAGTGTTGCAACCCCTGAGATACAGTGATTAGTTTGGGGATGGACACCTGAATGGCCAGGCCAGTGACACACAGATCTCAGACTTTTGCCAGTTCTATTGGGAATGTGAAGTTCTCCCTAAACTTCTTGAAGATCATGCTGAAGCTGCTGGAGATTACTATGATACAGCTTGGCTCATTAATGAAGCCAATATAGAGGTGATCAGAAGTGATATATAGACAGAGATGTATTCCCGATGACATCAGAAAAGCACCTAGATCCAGCACTGCCTGACGTCCTACATGCTATCCTTGGAATTTTACTGTTTTAAAATAACTTTAACTTGGGTTTCTGTTTATTATGACCAGAAGGGTTCACACTAACCATCACAGACCCAGGAAATTTCCACTTTGGGGATAACCATCTTCTCTTTTTCTCTCTCCCTACAGTGGAACAGCCAAAAGCAGCTGAAAGAAAACCACATGCCTGGGGAGATGGAAGCTAGGACAATTTCTTTATATTCAACCTCCTTAGTCCTCAACATCACGAGATTTAGGGGGGTGTGGGGGAAACTGGTAAAAAAAATTCCTTAATACCTTATTCATTTTAAAAAGTGTATAAAAGATCTAATAACCTGGTATCACGAGTAAATAAGATGTTTCCCATAAACAAAGTAACTGAAGCTAAACCCTTTAACACCTGGAGTTTATATTATATTGGATATAACACACAGTTTCCTTTTCTTTAAAGTAAACAGTCACATTGTGGGTTAGAGCTTCAACATAGAACTTTAGGAGGGACACAATTCAGTTTATAACAGGCACTAACACCTCCAGCTTTTCCACCCCACAATCTATAAGTGTTTCTGCCTAAGCACTCTACTTCACCTCTATTTGTCCTCAGAAGAAGGGGTGCCCCCTCTGCCAAAGGCTTATTGCTCCACCAGGTTCTCAAACCCATCCATGCTCACCTCCCCCACGACTTCTGTGATAGTAGAAGAACAGCCCCCAAAGACTTTCACATCCTAATCCCCAGAACCTGCGACTGTGCTCTCTTAAATGAGAAAAGGAAATTAAGATCGCAGATGGAATTTTAAAAAATATTTAATTATCATTATTTTCATTTCTTCTTCATACAAGAATGTGGTGATATAAAACACCCCTTTTTAAATCTTACTTCTAAGAATAATTCTCTCATTATTTCACATTTAGCGTAATGATGGATCTTTCTTTTATAGACTTTTATTACAAAGGGACATGGAACTATAGTAAGTTTCTCTGGTATTTATTTATTTATTTCTAAATAGCTGATCTTAAAATGAGGAGATGGCCTTGGATTATTCACGTGGGCCCGATGTCATCGTGAGGGTCCTTAACAGAAAAAGAAGGCAGAAAAGTAAAGTGATATGACTTGAAGAAGACTCAAAGATGTCTTTGCTCGCTTTGAAGATGGAGGAAGGGGCCAAGAGTCAAAGAATGCAGGCAGCCTCCGGAAGGTGGAAAAGACAGAGAAACAGATTCTCCTCTAGAGCCTCCAGAAAGGAATACAGCCCAGCCCACACCTCAGTTTTACCTGAGTGAGACCCATTTCAGACTCTGGATTTCTATAACTGTAAGATAGTAAATGTAATGCTGTTTTAAGAGACAACATTTGTGGTAATTTTGTTACAGCCGCCATAGGAAACTAATACAACCTCCCTCCATCCTCTGTTCTCTTTTTCTTGTTACCAAATTGTTCCTCTACTGCACCCTCCTGCACATCATGGAAATGTGGAAGCTCCCTCCGACAAAGCAAATGAAGAAAAAAACAAACAACAACAACAAAAAACAGAAACTCCTCCTCCATCCTGTGATTTCCTGTAGCTAATGCTATTTGTCTCCTTCTTGTTCCCCAGAAGATCCTTGAAAAATAACAATGTGACTGTATTTCCCTTAGTAAAATACAGGTACTTGTGTGAGATCGTGTTTAGGGGTTGATGAAACCCTAAAATGAATGAATGTTATTTATTGTCTAGCTATGACTTATTTTAATGTACATTGAGAGAGAGAACGTCAGATTCTCAGCCTTTCAGATATTCACAACTTTTCAGGTTGGGGCTGAAGCTAAAGTTTGCATGGAAGTTCCAAAAAGAGTTGATTAAAGGAATATAGCATCTATGCCTGCTGTCACTTGGGAAGGAAGTAAGATTATGCACATGAGCATGTAGAATGGTGCCTGACAGGCTGTTTAGAAACAATAACGACCAGCCCTTGTTATCATTATTACTTTTGTTTCAGCTTCCTCATCTGCATAATTAGGAGCTTGCAAAGGCATTTACAAACTGCTACATGGGGCCCTCAGGGGCCAGCAGGCCGGGGAAGCATGCCTGGTGGGGACCCAACCCTTTTCTTCAGCTGGAGTCAGTTCCATGTTTTCTTATTAAATTATTATTATTTTTTTTTTGTCTTTTTTTTTTGTCTTTTTTTCCGTGTCCGGCAACGGATCGCAACCCTCAGTGTTGCCCCCGTACCGGACCGGGGACCGGCAACGGGATCGCAAGCCTCGGTGTTGCTCCCGCGCCTCGCTCAGCCAGTGAGCGGGAACCGGTCTGTATATGGGATCCGAACCCTCGGACGGGAGCGCCGCCGCGCTTCCCAAGCGGCGCACTATCCATTGCGCCACCGGGCCGGCCCCTTATTAAATTATTATTGGATTATTGGCTCCACTTCCTTTAGATGACAGGATCCTGCCATGCAAAAATAAGCTTGAAAATCACCAGTGTCAGTACTCACAACCAAGAGTCAGATTGTTTCATGGTTTATAGCACAGACTTTGGAGCAAAGCTGCCTAGTTTCAAACCCCAGTGCTGTGTGGCCTCAGGCAAGTTACTTAAACTCTCTGTGCTTTTGAGTTCTTTATATATAATGTGTAGGAAAAATATTATCCCTTTCATGGGGTTGTCATGAGGATTAAATGAGGTTAATATGTACATACATGAAACACCATGTGTCTTCGTTATTTTCATCCAAAAGGATGATTCTATATTTCTCAGAACTGTATGGGATTACCTCTGCATGGCTATAAACAGCAATGCCACAAATATCATCATGTGAAGCAGTGAAGAGGCACAGAGACCCTGGATTTGGGCCTCATTTCTCCCACTAGCTAAGAAGTTTTACAGAAGCATCGCTTCTTTAAGAATTGCCTCTTCATGAAGTCTGAACATCGGCCTTAGTGTTTCCACCTGCACTCTCACAGCCTCAGCTTGT